AATGTGTTAGGCGGAGGCTAGTTCGGGATTTACGAGTACGTGTTTATTACTTGTTGACTACGAGGTGAGCCTTCTCACTATACTTACCATGAGTGGTATCTTGTTTTGATTGATCTGTTTATGTGCTATCTGTGTATTGTAATAATATGCATTATGTCTTGATGATTTAAGTTGTTTGTTGTTGCTATGAGTTTACCGAGTTAGGACCGGAGGGTCCCACTGAGACACATTGACCGGAGGGTCTTACAGAGTTATAGCCTCGAGTGGCTAATTATTTGTGTGTGTGGTATTTTGGGGAACTCACTAAGCTTTATGCTTACCGTGTTATGTGTTATGTGTTTCAGGTACTTCTGATGATCGCGGGAAGGCCCGGGCTTGATTGTACACACACTCGCTTTGGGGATATATTTTGGAGGATCCTGGTTTATGTGATAAACAACTTTAAATAAATAAATTGTACTAATGTTGATACCTGAGATTTTCGGGAAATATGATATGTGATTTTTATGTTCAAAATGAAAATTTTGGTTTGAAAATTTCGGTGTTACACTGCAAAAGCTTACCGACAGTTTGATTTCAAAGAAAACTTGGGTAGGCTACATTGTGCACTAAATGAAGAATGATGTACATGGCTAGACAGAATCAGTTACGAGAAATGGGTAAGGTCGTGTTTCCCTATGGTTCGGTACAATATTATGACGTCAAACAGTGCCGAGTCCAACAATACGTTATCAAGAGATGCATGAAAACTACCAATAACAATGTTGATTGATTTCTTTCGAGCAACTATGCAGAAATGGTGGTGTCAACAATGTAACCTTGTAGGTAACTATCTATATTATAATACTTCCATTATAATTTTAGTATAATAAATAAGATATATGTACAACTTTTTTTATAGCTGAAAGAAAAAAGGATATTACTGAGTTTGCTCAGAAGGTTATCAATAGGAGGATCAACAAATCCTCTGGTTTTCGGGTATACCAGATTGATCAAAGTAGATATGAGGTGACTGACCAAATGAAAAATGGTATAGTGAACTTGTAATCTCGTTGTTGCACGTGTGGGGAATGGAAATTGTCATGTATACCTTGTTCTCATGCAATGGTGGTATTCAAGGAACTGAGATATCAACACTGCAATACATAGGTGCCATCGTACTTCACAATGGGAATATACGGATCAACATATAGAGAGGTTGTGTTTCTTGTGCCAGTTCTAGCTGAATACGAACAACCAGATGACGTGATGGTTGTATTACCACCATTGATGGACAAAAGACAAGTCGGGCGACCACGAAACCATAACCGTATCCCATCCCAAGGAGAAGGTCCGATTCATAAAAAAATGCAGTCGTTTCCAAAGGATCAGTCACACAAGCGGAAACTATGACGCTCAGTTTCCTGCTAATTCAACAAAAAACTGAAACTTCTAGAAGGACCAAGTTAAGTGCCAAAAGTAACGTTAAGTCTAAGAGTAGATCAAACGTTAAAACTAGTTAAAATAGTAGTCAACAATATGATAATGTTGACCTTAAAAACCTGTGATATATTTATACGAAATTAGAATATTTTACATTGTTCGGAAACATAAAGTTGTATTTCTACGTCGTCATAAGGAAATTGTTTAAAAACATACACAAGAAAAAATCATAGCTCAAACATTAGCATAATTTACAGCATCTATCCACTAGACAGTATCAATCCACCACAAAGCAGCACGCTCCTGCCGAGTAAGCTGCAACAATTCGTTGAGGGGGGGGGGGGATGTTGCATAAAACAATATATATGTAAAGGTTAATCTTAAGTTATTTTCTCATGGCAACTTATAAATTATAAGGCGAACTAAGATACATACATCAGTAACAGCAAGAATACGTTCGCACTCAGCAGCGTGCAGACGCCTCATCCTAGGGTATGCAATTGCCCGAGGGATAACACCCGGCATAGAGGAACCAACTATACTACTGTTGGGAAATGTCTCCATGATTCAAATCTACAAAATTAAGATGTCAAACAACTAAACAATTTAACAAAGTTGTAATACTTGTTGCTTAAAAACATATTAAACACAGTAGACATACCTTAAATGCATAGACAAATCTCGACAGAGTATACGTGTGTCTACTACCGATTCTTGACACATTGGGGTTCAAATGCTCCTAAATCTTTTCAAACACAATATGTATCTATCTGTAAGTGAAATCCTATATCACTCTACCCCGTGGGGTACCTATGTCAACAGTTACACTTAATAAGTATATGTATGATTTGATATAATGTAAGTAAAAACGGTATACGTGTTAAACTCGTCTAAATTAGAGACGAGTGCCATACATTCATCAGTAACCGGTTGTCGAGGGTATTTACCCAAAAATCCTTGCTCTAGCATAAACAGCAGTGAGACTCTCACCGCGTCTGCATAACTTAATTGATGAAGTAAGTTATTGAACATGTAGATAAGGTCATCCACTCTCATCGAACGTGAAAGCGACATAAATGGGAACACACATTGTATGAGCTCTCCAAAACCAGAACTGGGGGAAATACTCCTCGAACCGAAAGCCGGTGACCAAGCAGAATGCCTTCCTGTCAAAGCAAACCCGATAGTCGCCAACCGGAAATAGAAGCTCTTCTAAGTCAACTGGATCAAAAGTAGTAAATTCCTTGCACATAAGATAGTGACAGAGTAAAGGGTGACATTCCACACCCATCTGCATGTACACATAATCAACAAAGCACGATTGCCTAAACATAACCCCACAAATTGGTCGGTTATTTAAACGAGCCATGATTTCGCGCCCAAGTTCAGGCCTGCAGGTTGTAGTAAGTAGTAACAACCGTTTCGTATGTTCCGTCGTGCTACTATCAAAAGAATAACTAATTAGACATTTTTGTATGTATGTTCCGGATGACATTACTGAATACACAATTCCGGACCAAAATTCTGGACACAACTTCGGAGTAACAATCTGGAACGCAATTCCGGAATATTCATCGTATTGCGGAGGAGTTCTTATTATTCCAGACATGTTTTTCGGATTCCGAATTTTTTCTGGACTAGTCAAAAAATGAAGTTTTTTTGTAAGAATTATATATATATATATATATATATATATATATATATATATATATATATATATATATATATATATATTCTTCCTACATATAATCCTATAATCGTCTTTAAACCAATAAAATTCAAAGAAAAACTAATAATACATATATACATGCATAAATTATACAAGTTTTAACGTATAATCTAAAATAAAGGCATATAATTATAAACATAATGGACACTTACATATAAAAATGCATCTCATCATCGTTATTAGAAGACATTTTCAGTTTTAATGGTGTCCGAAATGTTGCGTAGGGTAATCCGAAATGACAGTTTTCGAAATGAAAACTGAAACGGGTTAAAATGGTATTTATAGGGGGAACACATTAGCGGGTCAGATCCATTACCCATTCATCGAATACTAAATCCGGAATGACCCATTCCAGACCTAGTGGTCATTTTGCAAAAAAAAAGGTTATTATTATTAAAGTAACATTAAAAGTGGTTAGTTTACTCAATTTCCCTAAAATAAATTGCATTGAATGTATGTAAATCATATATATTTGGAGAAATATGTTTTAGATCTACCTTATTGAATTAACTTATAGAAATTTAACTAATATGTTCATTTGAATGTTTGTTGATAAACGCTTATAAGGTCATGGGGTATACCAGGCACGAAGCCTCTTCATGGTTAGGTAACAACCTAACCATAGTCGTGCACATCATCTCCAGTGTCATGATCGTGGTCTCTTGTGGTATTTGATTCATTATTTAACTTATTTGTCTAATATATATTCATTTGAATATTAATGATAGATGCTAGTAAGGTCATGTTGTTTACCGGGCACGAGGCCTCCTTGTGGTCAGGTGACAACCTAGTCACGGTCATGCACATCATCCCCGATGCCATGATTGTGGTTTTCTTGTGGTGTGTTGTTTCCGTCTCTTGCACAATTGCTTATTAGGAAGAAAACCCACACCAATGGCGTGTGTAGTATACCCTAAGGCCTAATGTCCGTCAAAAATCAGTATTGTTTTTTTTTCTTTGGCATCTTACGATTTTTCTATGTAAATAATGAAATTAATATCAAACTACATTCCAAAAATAAATTTAATATGTAATAATGAAATTATCTAATAGTCGGTGGATTGTTTTGTATTTTTTTTTCTAGGGGTGTTTGGATTGGTTCTACACGTCACCCTGATTACTTTATGACTACTTTATTCCAAAATCTTGTAAGCACAAGCAAAGCAAATACTTTGTAAACGAAATTGACAACCTTTCAATGTTTACATATTTAATCATATTGATTATTAAATTTATATTTGAATACAAAACTAATTAATTACATGTTTATACTTTATACAAATATTAATTCGTGCAAGTTTGTTTTATATATACTTTATACAAATATTAATTCAATCCTGAAGAAGACGACAATTAGCATAAAGTAGAAAGTTTTAATGATTTTAACTAATATTATTGGCTAAAATTCACAATTTTTAATCATAATATGAATTAACATAACTTATGTTATTTCACCCCCTGTGGCATATGAACATATATTATTTTCTTATTTTATATTACAAATAAATAGGTTGCTCATATCTGAAATCACTATAATTAAAAATAGAGTTATTCGGTAATAATACAACATAAACCAATTTTTTTTTTTTCGGGTTTTAAGAAAGGGAGGTGATTCTTCCGCATCAAAATTTTGATTCATCCACTAAAATATCTATTACCAATTATGCCCCTCGTTTAAGAGAGTTTGATGTCATCTATTTAAATGTTATATTTTTAAGTAGTATACCAATTTTTGCAATGTGTGTCTTAGCATCCTTGGAATTGTTGGTTATAAATATTTACAATATGCATAAGTTGACTATATATTTAAGAACAAACATGTAAGAATCTGATATATTCGAAGATATCATTGAGTATGAATATCACCTTCTTCATTATCTAGTAACATATTCGATGAGAAACCAAAGATAAAAGAGGAATCTATGAACTACAAGATGCCTGAATACACTGTTCAATTGTAAGAACAGGAAGCATGAAAGATGAAAAACATTTAAACTTTTAAACGAAAGAGGCGTCTAACAAAATTCAAACAAAAATTTCAATCAAGAGAGGCAACCTGGGGTTGGATCCAGGGCCATTTTGATTCACAAAGATCACTAGGGTAGTTACCATCATCATCTTTTATATCTTTAGCAGCATTTCTTTTCACAAGCAACTCAGCAATGCTTTCTCTCTCACAAACAGCAGCATAATGCAATGCTGTCTGCCCTTCATTATCCTTCAGGTTATACATATGAATTCAGATACACACAACAACAAGACTAATACTGAAACTCATGTCAATACAACAAATAAAAGGCTAATATCAAGATTACCTTCAAGTTCACATCAGCCTTCTTGCTCAACAGCAATTCTGCAGCTTCAATATGGCCACGATCAACAGCCCAATGCAAAGGGGTTCGCCCTTCACTATCTGTAAATTTTGGATCACAAGAATATTAAAATAAAAAAAAATAAAAAAAACGCTTTTATAAATTTGACTTTAGGAAATAGAAATGTAGCAAACCCTTTATATCCACTGGAACACCACCCTCAACACATTTCAGCAAGTTCTCTGTATCTCCTTCTCTTGCAAAAGCATGTATTGCATCTAGTTTTCTGAGAATTCATTTCAAGGTGTTAGTCAAAAAACAATATTTTTACTACTCTATCAAAGAATTACAAATTTACAATCAGTTATAACATGATCAAAAAGCATTTTGGTAGCAGTACTCTCAAACATAAAAGGTTTAAAGAACCTTACAACTCGTCGGATTCCTCTTCATGGATCAAAGAGCTGAAAACAGGTCCCATTGGTCTGGTATCATTACTTGATCGTTCATTGGCATCTCCATCTTTTCTCTTCTGTTGATTGTTAGATTAAGTAAAAGGGCAGAATATGATGAATTAGTGGAATGATAACATGTAAGAAATTACTTTAGAGATAGGGAGAATCATCATCTTACAGAAGTTGAACCAGCAACCCAAGTAGGGTATAACTCTGTAATAATCTCAAGATACTTCAACATTGCTTCCTCTGTGGGCATTGCACCTAGTTTCTGCCATGCGTTCCTGGATATTACAATGAAATTGTTAGAATGACTGCAACTGTGACAGAGGTGGAAGAGATTTACCATTTAGCGCGAGCAGTCATTTTTAGGGCAGAAGGCTGAGGAACGCTGCAAGGTCCTTCAGTGGCAATTTTATACAATCCATAAAGCTGTAACTGCAAATCAGTAGAAACCTTCGGCGATGACCGATCAGCGGCTGTCGCCGCCACAAACGCGGTGGCAGCACTAAACGCCTCATCTAATTCCGTACTCTCTACACCTTCCCAATCATCATCAGTATCACTACTAGTCCATGCATTTTCCTTTCCTTGACCAACTAATGGTTTTTCTTCATCACTAGTGTTGGAATCCCTTGGAAACTCCGCACCTTGTTTCTTCTCTTCCTGAACTGATTCGGAGTCGGATTCACTTACTTTTTCATAGGATTGATCTTCATCAGAGTTAGCACGAGTAATACGGAGATTTTGGTCGCGAAACGAGAAGATTATAGAGAAGAGTTTTGCTAGAAGAAATGAAAATATCAAACCGAAAAATATTGTTTGAGCATACTGTTGCCAGTCAGACATTGTGATGTAAGTTGTAGAATCAAATAAAAACCCTAGAACGAGGGAGTAATCAAATTGAGTTGGGGTTTTGCTTAATTCGAAACTTCAGGTATCGATCGAGCTTCTACAAATTGGAAAGTGTTTGGTGTTTTGAGGCAGATAAGAAAAAACCCTAGATTTGACTAAGTGTAGCAGAACTGTTTAAACCCTAAAATGGATGAATTCCGCGCCTGAGAAACCGAGAAGAACAAAACGCCCGATGATCGCTGGATTGGATAATTACGATGCGGAAAGGTAACACCGGATTGTTTACGATGACAGATTTGTACGGAATCTTTTAAAGAGGTTTATTGATGATTCATTGTGATTGGGAAATCCGAAATTTAATCAAATACATATTTAAAATCTTTAAAGAGATTCAATCATAAACTTAATTTTCGTTCAATTTTGTTAGAGGGTGACTACATATTTGTTACGATTTTTTATGAATCAAACATTTATATGATATGATCAAATTTTATAATTAAACTAAATAGTATTAACTATTTATAATAGATATTTGATATTCAGTTTAGACGAATTTACATAAACGGTCCCTATAGTATGTCATATTATGTAATTCCATATTCAAATTTAGCCCAAAGGATTATTATACCCTTTTGTCGTTTATTTTATCTTTTTTATAGTTTGTTAAATAATATATTATTGTGAAATATAAATGGGCCCGACTACTAGGGATGATAAAAAACGAGCATCATTTATAAACCGAAACCGGAACAGCTATTGATGGTGCAGTTTATAATCTTGCAAAAACCTAAAGTTTTCGATGTGGTGCGGTTTTGATATATACAGCAATCGAAAAAACCGAATCGCACCATATATATAAATTATTCATTTATATTTTATATATAATAATAACTATTCAATTATATATATATATATATATATATATATATATATATATATATATATAGAGAGAGAGAGAGAGAGAGAGATAGAGAGATTCAAATATTCTAACTAATTATTGTGTGGATGTAGGGATGATTATGGATCGATCATTTCAAATTTAATTAATTTGAAATTTATTTAATAGATAAGAGTCGATTAGTAATCTTGTTAGTAATCTTGTATATTCATTAAATAATATCCTTAATTATAATTAATTAAATTTAAATGAAAAAAAAAAGATCACCATCGACTTCCTTATCACGTTTTTAATCTTGTTTTTATAGAAAACAGTTTGAAAACCCTATAACCCATTGACACGTTCATCATCATCCCTCACAACATATCATCATTGTCTCTTCTTCTTCCTCCCTCTTCACCGTCAGACTCCATCATTATTGACAAAGGTCGAAGGACACCTTCGGCAGCCCCCTGCCACCCGAGCATCGCCATTGAATCCCCGTGAAACCCCAACACATACTCTGGCAGCCTTCTGCCACTTTGACGGTAATTTTTCAATTTTATTAAAATATGTTTAGGGTTTTGTGTGTTTTTTTATTAATGCTTAACTTTGCTCGAGTGTAACGCTTTTTCATTTGAGCCGTCATTAGCTTAGATGATGAGTATATATTTTTATTTAGAGAAATTAAATATTCTCGTACCTTTTGTTTCTACTTATATTTCTATCCATGTGAAATAATGACAAGTGTCATATTTGGATAATATTAATTACATTTTAATACATTTGTCATAATTTCAAATGGGTAGAAAGAAAAGTAGGAGGATATTTAATTTCTCTTTTATTTATTTTGAACGCAGCCTTATTGAATCATGTAAATTGGATTCAATTTTTAATATATTTACATTATCTAAATAGGGGATTATCAAATTATATCAAAAATATGTAAGTTATTTTTTTGGTGATTGTGAGCAATGTGAAAATTTGTGTTTTTTGTCAAAAAGAAAATGGAAAGTAGATGCTTATTTTTTTTATATAAGTTCTATAGTTTCCATTAAGAATTGGAATCATATGTTTACGTATTTGTAGATAATAAATTTTAGTTGGATGTTGCTATTGTTTCTAATAGTTATTTACTATTATGCAGACCAATCTCATAGTCAAATTTATATCTATTTGACAAAGTTCATGTTTTGCGATTCAATATTCAACTACAAAGAAGTATAATATTAATGTTTCACTTTTTCTACTTATGGTTTCAATTAAACTAGGGAAGAATCCCCGCTTTGCGGGGTTGGATACGGTCACAATTTTTGCGTAACCACAAGGTTTATGTTTAAAATTCAAGAGCAATGGTTATAAATGCTCATGTTTTGCAAGTGTATGTTTTTTTTAATGCCAAAATGGTTGTGTTCGTATAAAATGTTACATATTGTTGTCGGTACATAGGTGGAGCACGAAATAAAAGTTATTTTTTGAACAACCTGCTAAAATGTAAAGAAAGACAACAAAAATGCCCAAATAAATTGAGCATAACGTAAATAAAGAAAAAATACACAAATTACAGCTCAACACAGAGGCTCCATTGACAGTTATAAACAACTATACACAAATTCAGAAAATCTCAATCATCGAAATTATATTTATACCATGTTAATTATATAAATTAGAAAATAAAGAGCATAATACATGGTTGGGGACTGATTCAAGAATCCTTTAAGTTGCTAAAGTTTGACATGTTGCAACATCAAGTCAAGATTCACAAATAAATAAAAATAAAACAATAGTATGAACAACACAACATCCTGATGAAAATTAAGCATAATGATATAATCCCATTCTTGAGAATAAAAAATAAAAACATACTCCCAACATCCTTTAGTTCTATATCAGAAAAAATAAAGCTTTCCTTCTCACAACTCTAGTGTTTATAATATACCAATTATACCCTTCATTCTTTGAATTAAATTGGCAGCAAAAGTAGACCAACCCCATGAACTTTTTGAGTGTCAATGGAGCACTTACCAATAGAGATAAAAAAAACAACCCAAAAAGCCATTTCTTAGTAAACCAATCCAACTACCTCATAAAATTGCCATTTTTAGAAAAATTAAAAATTAAATATTTACTCCCAAAATCTTTCAACTGTTTATAAAGTAAAATTAAATTAAAAAAAAATGTAAGTAATATTTAAAAAAAATGTAAGTAATCCATTCTTACAAATCTAGTATTTGTAAAATACCACATATACCCTTCCCTCTTCAACTATTTTTGATAGGGAAAATGATTAGGAATGATATCATTAATAGATTTGTAAAATACCACAAATCTATTAATGATATCCACACACTTGGATATCATTAATTCATAGTTTTTACCAACCAACAATACTGTTATTGGCAGTAAGGTTAAGTTCAAGGTTATTCTTGATTGTACCAAAAGGATCTTCAATTACCATCTTTACATCATAGTTTTCGTCATAGTACCATGATTTGTAGCAAAAAAACACTTTATCATCTACAGTTCCATGTTCACCCAACATATCACCTGTTATTATTTAAAAGAAAAAGATGGCAACTTGTTTCTGTTGGCAGGTCAACAAAAATTCCACCAGGTCCTAAAGCATTATACAATCCAATAAAATGCATTAGAAGTTAATAGAGCTTTTGGATATGAATCTTTCATAGTGGTTACTGCAATTGGGAGAATAAGATTTAGATATAATTGGTTGACTAAAGCTAGAGCTAGAAATAGTTGTACCTTGCCAGTTGATACATTCCACATTCAGTAACAATCCAATAGATAAAAGAACCTGTAAGATTTTAAAAGTTCAATAAGGATTTTTAACAAACACCTAGTAGGCAAGCATTTCAACATTTAATAAACTCACCATCCCATTCTAAACTATATTTTCAATTCCATGTGAGTTTCTTTGATATTTGAAAATTATTAAAAATAAGCACGATTGACATTGGATCTCTTACCTGCGCCCTTTGTCAATTGGATCCAGTAGCCATTACATTGTTCTTCATTCATTATACAGGAAAATCATGAAGTATGTTATCTAGACAAAGTCAATGAAAAACAATCAATCAAGAGGCTGAAAAGCCCTAAACTTAAGCTACCGAAAGCAGAAACATATTATCACACAGAGGGAGAGGGTGCATAGTGGCCTCGGTGATCTAATTGAAAGAAAGTGTGGAATTTAATGAAAATAGAAATAGCACTGACAACAGAAGAAGCCGATGAAGAAAATAGAAATCGGGTGTGGTTGTGGGCTCGATTTACCTGGCTTGAAGAATGTAAAATCAAAATCGATGGCTTCTACTGCATAATTTTAACTCACCACTTGCAGACGTGTTGAGATGATGAGTGATAGTGGTCATCATGTTGTCGGATTCACCGGAGATGACCGAAGAATCTGAATCAATTGGGGCGACGATGAAGAAAGAGCGAAGCAGCGACGATTCGATTTTTCTGTCAAATAGCTCCGATTGGAAAAGGATGGCGACGGTCCGATTGGGTGTGTTGTCGTCTAAATCTTTCAAATCCGAAATCAGAAAGGAAAATAATATTGGTTCCAAGACTTCCATAGAGGTTTGGAGAGGCGGTGGAAGCATCCAGATAAACTGCTAATGAAGATGCAGTGGTGTGTATGTATTGGTGGATGGTGGCGGTGGAGTACACGTAGTAAAAGCAAAAGCGAATGGGAAAATACAATCACAGCAAATGGGTAAAAAAAATAAAACAAAAAGAAATTAAAGAAGTGGTCCAATCAAGCCAAGTAGTGTTCATTCGTGTAGTTCTAAATTAGTATATACTAGTGAAGGAACCCGCGTTGCGGGATTAGATCAGATGATAGACATGGCAGTAGATGTAGTTTACATTTGTAATATCTTGGCTTAATTCAGGAGTCGGAACTAATTTTCGAAAACGCTAAATAAATCTTCCTTTATAGATCCATAAGACCAAAATTACAAAAATACCCTTGTTCTAATTACAAAAATCTCTATCACAATAAACATTTACCTTCATTATATTCATGTTACCAGGACTAATTGACAAATTCCATGGAATCCAATAAACCAGGTGTCACTAACCAAAGTTCATGTGTATTTGTGTGTATATACAATCATTTGGGTCCACTAAACCCAATGCAATTGACTCATTCCATCTATTAGGAACACTCTCAACACCAACTTCTTTCATGTGCTCCTCCAACTCTGGGTAAAATGTATTATATGGTGCCACCTGGCATCCATCAAAACATATCTCACATCATTAACTTTCATATATCAAACTAACAATCACAGAAAAAAGGTTGCAGTTGCATAAATGATTAAAGTAAAACATATTTATGGTTATCACAAACAATAAGTGGTTGTTGATTCACCCCCAAAAAGAATACACATTCGCGACAGTTAGCAATGAAGATACGCTTTGCTACTCTCGCACAAACCTAATACACACGACATGTTTTTTATACATCCAAAAGACATAAATGCCCTTGGAGACGTGTGCAAATTAAGATCTTTACCCTGTAAAAAGGTATGCCTTTTGCTTTTCTCACTTTGACATCAATCTTGTAAGCACTCATATCAGCTGTGAAGCCTCTAGCTTTAACAATGTCAGGAAAGGTCCCTTAGAGTATCGACCCGAGATAATTAATGGATTTACATAAAAGTCCGGAATACGAAAAGGGTATAATTGTATTAAACAGAACAATTAAGGGTCAAATTTTATAAAAAAAATTGAAATGAATACAAAAAGTGTGTGAGGGAGTGTACCTCATGTGACTCAAGAGTTTCTAGGCCATCAATGGTTACATTTTCAAGTACATGAGCTGAGGCATTGTTTAACAGTTTTGGTAACCGATCACTGATTGAATCTGGTAAAAATAAAGCTTTTTAACATTCTTTGTATATTTAAGAAAGGGCAAATTACAAATATACCCTCATAATGTTGATGAGACTGACCTACATCATATGCAACATCATAACATCATCTTCCCATATGTGCAAGCATTTGCAAAAAATAGTGATTGCAGTATGAACCTGTGAATAATCTTGAATTCATTAACATGTACAAATTACAAATATACCCACATAGGGGATAATTAAAAAGAAGTCATACATACCTATGCCAAATGTGAAAAGTATAGGAGAATTCATCCCTCCATCCACAAGGTCATCCTTTATTATATTACAAATATCTTTTTCATCTTCAACAGCTCCATCAGTAATAAGAAAAATGAAAGGAATTAACGTTTCTTATTCTTATTTTTAAAATATCATGAAAAAAGTCTTTCCAGTGTCACACATTCAAAGGCTAAAACACCTTTATGCACCAAAGTTATACTTTTTATTTATTTATTTATTTATTTTTATCATTTACGGTATTAATATGATTTTTATTTTAAATTTATGCCGTTATGTTTTAATATGCTACAAAAGTCCATCTCATCACAAAAGTTAATAAAAGATATACATCGGGCTCACGGGCTCCGGCTACTTTTGTATTGGTTCCCGCAAATTGACAAATTATTTGTTTAGTTCACAAACAAAGAAAATTTTCCAAATTATGGACAGTAACCTTATGATTATACTATGAAACGGAAAACCAACATGGATGCATGAATTCAAAAATGTATTCATGTGGAGTGTAACTCTGAATGAAAACTCCATACAACAGAAAATCAGGTAAAAGGGTAAAATTGGAAGAATGAAGCAAATCAGTATATTATGCTGAGGATTTGGTAAACATGAATACAATTATCAAACAAAAATACCTACCTTACCCTAACCTGTTTAACTTAACCAAACCAATCAAATTTGAAAATAATTGTCTTTACCCTTTACATAAAGTGACATTTACAAAGAGCTAGCATTGTGTAGACAATAATCTTTTAACCATTTGTTGTTAAAGAGGCACTCATACTTATAAAAATTGACATAAAAGTGCATTAACAGATTTATCATCAAGAAACCAAAAAAATATCATGCAGCAAAATTTGTAAATAATCATCTGAATCGTATCTATTGTTCATTTTGTTTGGTTATGATCATTTCTATTAGATTTTTAAAGAATCAAATTACAGAACTTACATCATCTAGTCTTGCAGTGTGAAGTTACATGACTTTAGCCAAAATGTTTGCATATAAGCAACTAAACAGATTAGAACAATGGAAAGATTTTCTTAACTATATAAAAAAAAACATACCACTTTCAGCCTATTTATCAATCAACATTCATCATTTCCTATTTAGTCCATGCCCTAGCAGGTGCATACTAATAACAAAATACAACATATAAGAAAAAAAATACATTTGTGCATCACAAAAATTAAGATTAATAAAACAAACTCTTATATTACTTGTGTGTTTAAGGCAGGGGAGTTGAATCTCTTATGGTAAGCATCCATAAAACAACTTGTTTCATTTTCTGGTATAAGATCCATAAACGGCTCCTTCTAGAATACCCAGTTAAGAGTACATTGATTATCATTCACCTACAATTACCCAAGAATAAGGTCAAATATTTTACTAACGATATGATGGAGTAAAAATACAGAACTTAGCTACATCAACAAACTGAAACATTGACATATTGAGGTACAATTCTTCCCATTTATCTACAAAAAGCAGATAAACAATCACACACATACATATGCTTTTGGTGAAAAACTAACAATTTCATGAGAAAATTGTCATTTCTCTAGACCTATTGTCCCAAATTGAGCACCTATGAAGGTAATTTAATTAAATTTAACAATCCAACAGGTGAAACATTACAACAAACAATTGGTGTGCATTGTAACATACCAAAAAACAGGAAACCATCTGTATTACACATAAATCAAAAGAAAGTATAGAAAAACAATAAAACATTTAGATTGGAGGAACACATCAACGTATCGGAACAAAGAACAAAAAGATCAATATTTGTCACCTGAAACAGCAAATCAGATTCAAACCTTCATCGCATCACCAACCGTCACACCCAATTATAAAAACTGGGAGCAAATAGAGACAGAGAAAAGTAGAACTTCTGATCAGCTTCAATACACATCCGTGTACAGACGGTGGAATACATGTATCGACTTCTATCTCAGATTGTAGCTTCGAAGTTGTGAGTGTGACAACGACGCCGACGATAGGTGATGAGCGTTCTATTAGTAGATGGGGATTAGGATCTGATTAGAGATAGTTCAGACCCTGTACTTAACCCCCAAATATGGAACAAACATGGAAGTAGTGGAGCTTGACTCGATTAATCGGTTGATGGGATAAAGTGTTGTGAATTTGGCGGCTACAATGGGCAAAAACAACGTAAGTAAACCCAATTGCTAGTTGGTACCAAGATGCAAACGAATCCATAGGCCATAGAAAACGAAATTGATGGTTGATTTTGGAAGGTGACTAAAAAAATTGTAAAAGGAAACAGGGATTCGAGTTTTTCTACGATCTCTCTTGGGTGGGAGAGGCGGTGGAGGGAGCAACCGGCTCAAAAACAAAACTAATGTGGCAAATCATAAAAATGAGAGCGATTGAAGTGAATGGCGGTGGATGAAGGAAAAAAAGGATTCTGTGAGGAAATAGAACAGATACGGTGGGGTGGGAAGCACAATCGAAGAAGACGGCTTGAAAGCATCTGGTATTCAGATATCGAGACATCGGTGGTGGTGGGGTGTGGTGGAGTAATGTTATTGGAAAATAGAAACGGTGAAGGACAATGTATTGAGAACAGGCAATCTCGGTGGAAGGAGAAAAGAACGCGTGTAAAACAAATCACTTGCATAAACCAAAAGTAAACAAAAAAAATTGTCCAATCAGAAGCAACTCCTGTTCATCATGTAGTTCAAAATTAGTATATATATAAACTAGTATATAAATTACATTTATTATTAATTGTTTTATTTAGATTTTTAAATTGTTCATGTATGTGGTTGTAATATGCATGTGTTGTATCAAATGAATTCTATTACAATATGTATCAAATGTGCCTAGCTGCGAATGCAAAAACATTGTTTGGTTTTCATATCTAAGTTGGGTTGAAATTGATTCGATGATAGAGTTGTAATATGCATATATAAATCGATTAAATAGTGTGATGGAGTTTTACTAGTGCATTCTGTTACAATATTTACTATTTACAATTCTTTAATTTCTATTTCATTCTATGGGGATAGTTGTATATTTGAGAATAAATTAAAATTCTTTAATTTCTATTGCATTGTATCAGAATTTATAGTTTTATTTTAAAACTATATGTTTTTATTTTTGAAAGTTGATTATGTTTTCCTTGTGGATTTAGGTTTTGAAGAGGCTATAATTGATGTCGAAAAAAAACATGGAGAGCGAGAGTATATTACTCGGTAGTTGAAGATCCAAAGTCAAAGGAAATAAATTCCCTTATAGGAAGCAAGTAGTTCAGGTAACAAATATCAATGCCATTCAAACTTTTAGATTCTACTAGAATTGAATCTTGAATTTCAATTATGTTGGAATGGAATATCGAATTCCGATTCTGTCAGAATGGAATCTCAATATTTTCTCTATGATTTGTGCATTTTCTATAACTCTTGGTTATGAGTTTTGCTGCAATTCACAAGTCTGCAGATTTGTACAAAGGACTTTAATTTTTTCTTTTTCATTTGGTAATGAATTATTCTTTCAGAATGACTTGAAGAAGGAATCAATGATTGATCATACACGATAAAGACTTGGAATTGAGTTCAATAACAAGTTGCATTGAAGAATATGAAGTGTAAACAAGTCGAT